CCTTTGTTCTTATTAAAGCTCCAAAAAAGATAAATAATTAAACAAAATATATGAGTCAAATATTGATCAAGAATAAAAGAAATCTACTATATTAAAGTTTGGTTACAAAAATATAATTAAAGGATAAAAATTATAAATCCAATGGGGCCAAAATAAGTTAATTATATAAACATAAAGATCCAAATATCTATCTTTTCATATCTCTAATTAAGTACAACCTTTAATAATTAGTATCTACATCAATAAATAGATAAAAAAATAATAATTTATTCAATTGTTAACATAAATTAAAAACTAACACAAGGATATATGTAACGTTTGTGAAGTAAAAACTTTAAAGATTTATAAGATTCTGTAAGATTCTGCAGAACTTATAAAAGCTTTGACACAAATATTTGAATAACAATCAAGCAGACAACTGCAGTTCTAAATGAATATTATAAAATGATATAGATTTAAGGCCTTGTTAACAACATTTTTGCTCTGCACTTTAGGGGTTTGGAATTAAACAATTTAAGCTTTTAATATCTGATCACAAAAAAAGTTTTAAACTAATCGTTTTCAAAATGATACCTTTTTTTAAGAATGTCGACACTTAGAAAAGCATAAAGGTTGACTCATATGAAGCCAACGATGAGTCTTAGAGGCAATATTGGATAATGTAGCAAAATTGAAAAGTCAACAAAGTAAATTAACACGGCTTAATTAATTCCATCACAATGTTTAATGATGAAAAAGACAAACTATTAACTACAACTGTTTTAATGTCTAAGGCTACAAAAAGTAAAAGAACGTAAATGTATTAAAATGTTTATGTCCAGGGCTACAAAAAATAAAAATATACAAGAATGTAAATTTTTTGCAATTTAAATGTTTATGCAACGTAAATGTGTATGTCCAGGGCTACAAAAAAGTACAAGAACGTAAATGTATTAAAATGTTTATGTCCAGGGCTAAAAAAATAAGAATATACAAGAATGTCATTTTTTTTGCAATTTTAATGTCTAGGGCTAAAAAAATTACAAGAACGTAATTGTATTAAAATTTTAATGTCTAAGGCGACAAAAAATATTAAGAACGTAAATGTATTAAAATGTTTATGTCCAGGGCTACAAAAAAGTAAAAGAACATAAATGTATTAAAATGTTTATGTCCAGGGCTACAAAAAAGTACAAGAACGTAAATGTATTAAAAATGTTTATGTCCAGGGCTACAAAAACTAAAAATATACAAGAATGTAAAATTTTTGCAATTCATATGTCTAGGGCTACAAAAAAAAGTATAAAACATAAGACTTTTACGATTTAAAAAAAAACGATTTTATGATCAAGAGAAAGTCCTAAAAAAAAAGAAATTTTCATATTATAAGAGGACTTTGACTGATAGTCATACTTAAGATTAAAGACTTTTAGTGGCGACACTAAAGGTTTACCCAGTCTTAAGATGACAATTCTTTATGGTTATACTAACAAATTCAGCTTTTAATTCATACTTATAATTGAAAGACTTTTAATAAAGACAATTTTAAAGTCTTTAAATTAAAGGAATAAAGTTCTATTTCAGTACATCCATAAAAATAATAAACTTCTTTAGGGTAATAGAAAGGAAAATAATAAAATAGGTTTGTTAACATCTTTTAATTGTAAATGTTATAAAAATATGAAATTGATTTATAAAGATTTAAATGTTGTAAGAATGTTTGCATTCCTATCTTGTCAGAATGTATATAATATGATAATATCCATATAGTATATAATAATACAATGCATAAAAAATATATATAATACATAATACATATACAATACTATAAACTTAATAGAAACTCATATCTAAAGAACTCAATAAAGGAAACTTTACAAAGAGAAACTCAATATAGCAAGCCAGATTGAATCGATTAAAGCACTAACTTTGCACAGACATTTATTTTACATTATTATTAAAATACAAACTGAGGATCAACCGAAGTTAATCCTGGAATCATAGATGGAGCTAATTCTCCTCTCGGAGCTACTGGAGCTGTTATCGACCGCTCTCTTCTGACACTTCATCAAGACTAACCCTCTTCTCGGGGACAAAATGGACGTTCAGTTTGCTTTCTCTTCCGACGAAAGCACCGTTATCCGTGTTCCCCCGATAAGGATTACCAGGATTTGAATCTAGCTGCCCTGGAAATTTCCTCTCGCCGTTGGTAACAGCTCCTGAGACGGGTTAAATCATTATTATTTGTTTGTCCAGTTCTCAACTCATAATAAAACTTAGATTGGGTTGAATGAACTAGAATCAACGTATACATTTCTGGATGGGTTTACAATACATTACATATACAATACATTACATATACAATACATTACATATACAATACATTACATATACAATACATTACATATACAATACATTACATTCTGTTTAGCTATAGACAATTATGTTCATACAAAACTTTACAAGACCTTTGAAATGGGCTGTACATGCATTTCTTTTTCCATGTTAAATGTCCTTCTTGCATGTGGTATACGCATATACATCTATAGTCCTGTTCGTTTCGTCTTGCGCGCATGCATGCATGCCCCAAATAGCTAAATTGCGCAAAAAGAGCGCAATTTAAGCGTCACTTTTCGCATTTTTACGTAAATTTTGCGTAGAGGTTTTGGCTCTTTTTACGTCATGAAACACGTAAAATCGCACACTTAGCTACGCAAATTTATTGGTTTTAGTAGACGTAAAATTTACGTAAAAATATTACACAAATTTACGCCAAAATTGCGCGTTTTTATTTTCTCAATTACCAAAAATTATGCAATATTTAAGATGCATGCAGATAGGCCATCCATCCCTGAGTACCGGTATGGTACTCTCTCTGAAAGGTGCCGACCTAGATGATTCTAACCTGAAAGTTTTCAGACCTAAATATCGAGTAGTTTGCACGTGTTTTAGGTCGGTTTGGTTGAAAAAAGCTTTAGGTCCGTTTGACATCCATGAGAAATATAGGTTTTCCGACCTAAGATTTAGAGATATATTTAGGTTGGTCGAGCATATATATTAGGTCTGTTTACCAGGAAGTTTTTGGATTAGTGACAATTTTAGGTCTGTTAAGCAATATTTTTAGGTGGTTCAGCAATTTTTTAGGTCGGATGAGCAATTTTTAGGGCGGATGAGCAATATTTTTAGGTCGGAGGAGCAATTTTTTTAGGTCGGATGAGCAATATTTTTAGGTCGGATGAGCATTATTTTTAGGTCAGATGAGCAATATTTTTAGGCCGGATGAGCAATTTTTTTAGGTCGGATGAGCAATATTCTTAGGTCGGATGAGCAATATTTTTAGGTCATAAGATTATTTTTTTAAATTTTTTAAGCTACATATCATCAAAACTTTAAACTGATTTATAGTATTAGTTTTAATTCACATAATTTAATGAATCGATTTCCTATTTGAGCTAGTGAAACCCTCTGCTTTGATCACTCGTTCCTCCACAGAAACTACCAGAATTACGGTCCAGCGCCGTGCCCCTGCAGTTCCTGCAATTCCGTTGTAATGTAAAAAATTCCTTAGCTTCCTTTCCCATTCGGTCGGTTTAGAAAGCACCGTTTGTATTGCATCAGGCAGGTAGCTAAACACACTGTACTCTGTAGTGTGTATGCACCAACCCAAACTTTCTCATGTTGGAGAAAAACACAGACATGCAATAAATACACTCAAATTTAAGTCAATATCGTTAATAAAATTGAAACTATGCAGTCGTTAAGATTGCACGAAGTTCTTAACTAAAAATCTACATGATGCGGCTTATACAATAGATTTTTAACCACTCAATTTTGCCGAAAAATGATAGTTTCTCTAATCGTCGTTATGACTAGAAAACATAAAAGTTACGAAAGGACACGCCGATTTTGGGGGGGGGGGCGTGACGCTATCCGACAAATATTTTGGAAGATGTGGCCAAAAAAATGTTTTTTTTTTTGTCAAATTGACGAGTTTGAGGACGAAAGACGTAATAAACCCATAATGCCGGTTCAATTATCAAAATTCTATATACTAAGACGTAATTATTGTAATAATAAAAATTCCTAAAAATCTTAAAATCTGGGTCAGTAGGTTTTTGTTTTGATACTTGGCTCATTTTTGTAAATTACATTAGTTACGGATTTATATAGCCTTTCGATATTCGAGCCGGTATGTTTTGTGGGATTTTACGACGCTTAAAATTACAGGATTGCATCGGGTATATTCCCAAAAAACGATTTTTGGACCCCCCCC